TCAATCTGCGATGTCCCGCATCTCACCAGCTCTCACGAGTTTGTCCAACTGCCGCTTCTCCGTCTTCCTCGAGTCGATGGCTGTCTTGCGGCTAGCCCTCTGCGTACTCTTCTTCATCTTCGGCGCCGCCGCCGCTGGGTCCTGCACCAGGCTCCACCTTGCCTCGCGCAGTACCTTGTACAGGTAGACCTTGTCCACCCCGAGCTTGGTCAGCACGTCTGCGATATTCTGCGAACCGTCGATCCATCGAAGATGGGTGCCCTCGCAGCGCAACACCTCTCTGAGCAAGGCTCCCTCGATCGCCATCCTTTTGTCCTTGCTCTTCATCGAGCCCTCCTTCGTCAACGGACTTCGCGCCAGTGGCCCAGAAGCGGGGAAGCCGCTGCACCTCCCCCTGCCAGTTGATCAGGTCCACTGAAACGTTCGTCGCCTCTCTGAACAGCACTGCCGCCCAGTCGATTGCCTCCGCTGCGTCCGCCAAGTGGCTGGCCTCTGCGGCCACGGTCGAACGGCGCACCCTCTGCGTCATGCCGCTCTTCCAGTCCAGCACCGCCACTGGTGCTGGATGCCCGGCCAAGGTACTGCCGGTCGTGAGGAGCACCACGTGGCCGCCACAGCTCCTGTAGCGCTCGATGTCGTCGTGCTCCGGGCCATTCGCGTGGCCCGCGTCCACCGCCGCGCCGACCACCGCAGTGGCCAGCCGCAAGTTGGCTGGATAGACCAACGCGACCTCGGCGCCCTTCTTGGCCTCGGACACCGCCAGGTTCGCCTTCACCAAGTCCGCCACGCACGGGGCCGCCCGGGCCCTCTGCAGCTCGCCCGAGAGGAGGGCCAGGTCGAGACGGCACTGTCGACCCAGCCAGCCGATCTCGCCAGAGACCCGCAGCAACTGCTTTGCCTCCTCCTCGTTCAAGTCATCTTGCAACTGCTTCCTCCGTGCCGCTGGGATCTTGATCGGCTTGAGGGAAGTCGCGTAGTTCACCATCTTGACCACAATCCCTCTCGGATCACTCGAGAGCTCCCGGCCATGGAAGGTAAAAGGCAGCTCGCTCCACATCCACTGGAACGTGCCCAGGACCTTCGGCAGGAGGTCCGTCAGCTGCATGTCCTTCATCCTCGCCACCAGCGCGTCGTCGACGTGCGAGACCGCGATGCCCTTCAGCTGCCCGTCCACGCGCCTGTAGAAGAGAGCCGGCTCCAGGCGTGACTGGAGCCGCCCGTCGACCAGCATGGCGTCCCGCAGCGCTAGCCAGAAGAGCCTCGCTGCCTCCGCGAAACCGTAGATGGCCTTGCGGGCCCTCAACAGCTGGCCTGGGGCGAGGCCCGGCAGGCCCCCTCGGGGCTGCTCTAGGTAGACCTCGCGCTGCAAGTCCTGCCCATTGAAGTGGGCATTCTTGACGTCGCCCAGGGAGAGGATCATGCCCATGGCCGCCGCCAGCGTCAGGAACAGCGCCTCTGCCAGCCGCGAGGCCGCGGGAGCGTCCCGCCTGAACATGCCCAGCAAGCGGTCGCGAAAGCCCACCACGACCAGGCGACTCTTCGCGAGCAACGGCAGAGGGGCTCCGGCCTCATCGTACTTCCTGTCATTCTTGTCCGTGTCCACCCAGCGCATCGGGATGATGATGTTGGCCTTGTTCGAGCGAAGCTTCTCGCTCTCATCTGGCGGGGCCGGCTCGGCCGCATCAAAGTCCTGCCAGGAGCGCCACTCCTCATCGCGGCTGCCACCCCGGTCCAGGAACTTCCTGCGCTGCTCCTCCGGCAGGCTGCCGAGCTTGATCTCCTTCCTCCCCGGCTTCTTCGTCAGGAAGGCGTGCTCGAAATCGTTCCGCTACAGCCCGAAGGGGAACTCCTCCCTGCCGATGCCCTCCTGAGTGAAGAAGGCTTCGTTCTGCTGATATGTCTCCAGGCCTGCCTCCGAGAACTCATCCAGGTCGTTGTCCAGCACGAACGCCGCCGAGTCCATGGGTGCCTGGGGGCTGGATCCTGCGGTCCCCTGTCGGATCGAGACAGGGACGTCATCCAGCAGGCGCCGCCGCTTAGCCTCTCGCTCACGACGCTCCTCCGCCTCCTCTTCCTCCAGGAGGCTCCCTGGGCGCCGGTGCCGAGAGGCCCCCGGCTCAGGCTCCGAGTGCACCCCGTCGTCCCTCATGATCTCGTGAATCGCTGCATCGAACTCCGCCGCATCGAAATCCAGGTCGGGCGGCACTGGCACGTCCTCAGCCCCCACTGCTGGGGCTGGCGCCGCAGGCGGCTCAGGCGCGGCCGGCGCCGCGCGGGGGGCCTCCGGCTCAGGCGGAGCCGGGGGGGCCTCCGGCTCAGGCGGAGCGGGGGCGGGCTGCTGCTCCTCCGGCGCCTCCGCCTGCGGCCCGACGTCCATGCCGCTCTCGTCGCCCTGCTCGGCGGGCTCCTGCTCCGCCGTCGCTGGGGGCTTGGGCCGGCCTCGCAGGTCCACGACGCCGCTGCCGCCGCCGACGGGCGCGTCGTGCACCAGCTCCTGCTCCTGCGCAATCGACCTCCAGGCGTGGATCTCGTGGCCCGTGGCGGCTGCCAGGTGCTCTGGGCTCGCGAGCGCGGTGAGGCCCCAGAAGGCGAGCCACGCTCCGTGCCGGCCCTCATGGCCGATCACGCGCGCCAGCCCTCGCCAGTTGTCTGGATGTTCAGGCCGATGCTTGACCGGCTGCGCCTGGTCATAGAAGAGCACCCACTGGCCCACAACAAACGGCCCCCTCGTCGGCCGTATCTGTCGAAGCTCTGCTCGTCGAAGTCGATCCCCCGTGTCCGTCTGGATGAAGGCCATCCTGCACTGGGTCCTGATCTCGACCTTGCGGGCGAAGCGCGAGCCTGGAGTAGCCGCTGCCACCTGCTCGCCAACGCGCTCGACCTCGGCGTCATCCGCGAGGCTCGCCGGGAGACGGATGTCCCGGCCGAGGACCCAGAGGTAGGGGCTGAAGCCAGCCCGCCGGGCCAGCGTGTTCTTGGCCCTGTTGCGCTCCGTCACAGCCGTCCTCATCTCCTCAAGGCCCGCCACCTGCTCGTCGTGCACCACCCTCGTGAGCATCGAGTTCCAGATGCCGTCGTGACGCTCCATCTTGCCGATGTGCCACGGCGAAGCCAGAGCGGCCGAGTCCAGGCGCACGCCCTCCTGCTCCAGGTAGTCCGCGAACTCGCCTAGGAAGGACCGCGCGCGATCCACCATGGTCGCCTCCTCCAGCTGGCCAGCCCAGGAGACCCAGCAGAGCTCGTAGAACTTCCTGACCTCCGAGGCCTTCGGATTCTTGTGAGTGTCCTCCAGGAAGCAGACCACATGGAAGTTCGTCCCCATTCACATGATGCCCAGGAACTCCCTGTTGTTGCCGGCGCTGTCGACGCTCTCAAAGCAGGCCATCGCGAGCAGCACGTTGAACTCGTCGACCCTCGGGAGCTGGCTCGGGCGCGGGATGCTGGGCCGCTGCACTCGCCGGCAGCTCTCGCAGACGAAGAGCCTCGCCGCCTTCAGCGCCAACGCCGTCGCCTTGCCCAGACGCAGTGCCCTGAGCAGCGCCGGCCGCGAGGGGTGCCCGAGGTTCACGTGCGCCCTCTCGATCGCCCTCTTGACTGCCCTCGGCAGCAGCTCCTAGCGTCGCTTCCTCTCCCGCGAGGCGTCCCGCTGCTGCGCGGCAGCTGGCCCCTCGGGCAGGTCGTCGCGCTCGTGGCCCGCGAAGTAGAAGACCACGACGTCGTTCTCGAGCAGGTGCCTCGGCAGCCAGCGACGTCGTGCCTGCAGGGGCTGCTGCGACCAATCCTCGAAGCCCTGCCTGTAGAGCTGGTCGCCATTGAGCACGGTGACCATCCTGAGCGGGGCGTCCGCGGCGTGAAGCTGCGGCTGCACCGTCTGAAGCCGCTGGCCTCCGCGTCTGGCCTTCACCATCTTCAGCGGCTCGCTGACGACCCCTCCCAACTCCCCCAGGAAGAGGTCCGAGCCCCAGATGATCATCTCGACATCATCGCCCATCTTCTCCAGCAGCCTCCTGTGCCAGCTCCGGAACGTGTCCAGCTCAGCACGCAGCTCCGCCGTCAGCAGCTCGAACTCGCCCTGCTGCGTGCGCCGCCCCCGACGGAAGCCCAGCGGGCGCTCGCCAGGGCGCGCGCCGCGCTCGCGGCGAGCAGGCGCTCGGCCGCGCCTGGGCCCAGCGGGCACCTCGGCCGGTGCCTCCGGGGCCTCCGCAGCCGCCTCGGCAGGCGGCGCGTCCTCTCCGAGAGGCGGGCCCTCCTGGTGATCCTCCTCTGGCTCTGGCTCTCCTCGCGGCGGGCTCCGCGCCCGCGAGCGCTCGCGAGGGGAAGCATCCTCCACCGGGAAGGCCGCATCCATGACCAGCGAGCTGCGGTAGTCGATCTGCATCTGCTGGAACACGCCGCGACAGAAGGCCTTCGCGAGGCCCGAGGGATAGGTCGCTGCCTGCTGCGCCCGGTAGCCGCCCGAGTTCTTCCCGAGCAACTGCTGGTGAGCGCCGGGCGGGCATGCGCAGCGCTTGCTCAGGTGGTTCGCCACCGCCGCGCTGTTCGTGAGCCACCCTGTCGGCTTCTTAGTCGGCTTACCCGTGTCCTTGTCGCGTGCTCCGTAGGCGCATTGATCTCCACGCACAAACACAACGCCTTCCAAATCCCTCAGGCGTGTCAGGATACCATCATACTTCCAAGAAAGTGCTGTCAACGGCTGCTCTATCAAGAAATACCGTCCTCTCGCATGCGCGCGTCGAGACACCCGCCGAACGAGCAAGAGATAACGGCGAGCACTCCTGCGGACTTCGTCCCAGTCGGTGATCTTGTTCATGTTGGTCATCAGGGGCCACGGATGGCAAGGAAAGGCCAACGCCGTGATGTAAGGCCAGTGCTGGTCGAGGATCCGGTATAGCAATGCCCGTCCCGGGCCCTTGAGCAGGTCGTAGTAGGGGGGGGGTGGTCCGCGCCCAGCGGCTGGGACTGCATCCAGCCGTGCTCCCTCGCGCCGTAGCGCGTCAGGATGTGCTCGCCGCCAAACGGCTCGAATGCCGCCGTCGTCTGGAAGTCGGCCGTCACGAAGCGCTCCGCCTCGAACCTCGCTCGGTCGAAGCAGCTCCCCTCGTAGGCGTCGATGCTCTCCTCGAAGCTCCCGCCAGGTGGACTCGAGCCTCTTCCGAGTCGCCTTGGGAAGTATCCCCGTCGCATCGGTGGCCAGCGCGCCCCGATCCTGCGACAGGAAGGCGTGGCCAACCTCCTCGATCTGGACCTCCTCGCCGTCGGACTCCTCGAAGGCCGTCTCCTTCAGCGCCTGCGCAAGGAAAAACTCCGAGTCCCGATTCTCCGAGACCGCCGTCGCCGGTCCCGAACCCGAAGTCACTGCCAATCAGTGACCGTCATCGCCCCAATCATCGAGCCGAACTGCCAAGTGGCCGCCCACCTTGAGCAGCTGCACGTCCACTGCGAGCGTCTGTAGCTCCATCCGCATCTCCTTCAGGTGGAGCACGGCGCCCAACGCCTCCTGCGACGCCAGGCTGACAGGGAGCGGGGTGTCGCAATCCTCCATCTCCGTGCTGAAGATCACACCGTGGCGGCCGCCGAGGGCGACTGGAATCTCGACCACGCGCCCCTCCTGCCTCCTACCGAAGGCCGATGAGAAGCTTCTCCAGCGGTCTGTCATCTTGATCTTCAGGCCGCGGGGGTGCAGGCACCTCTTCTCGAACAACACCCGCCAACGCTGACCGTGCATACATCTCGTGCAACGGGTGTCGATGAGCGCCACTGGTACATCAGACGAGTCACTGTCTTCACTCACCATAAGCACCATCTCCAAAAATAGTTCCCCAGGTACTGGGCGCACGTGGCGCCCGTGAGGGGCCCCTCTGGACCCCGGAGTGGAGTGTGCTCAGGCCGACGACAGCGGTGGCCGCGCCTCGCGCAGCCGCTGCTCGCCCTCGTTGTAGTCCAGCGTGCCCTTGCAGTCCGGGAACTGGCTGCATCCAAAGAACCAGCCGCCACTCCGATGGTTCTGGCGAGCCACCAGGGCCTTAGAGCACTTCGGACACGGCAGCACCTCGTCGTCGCTCTTCACCGTCGGGGGGATCGTGCTGGCGCTGCCGCTGACCCCGCTCGTGCTGTCGCCGGCGTCGCTGCCCACGAGCTTGAAGGAGCCGAGGTCGGAGCCGCGGTCCGAGTTGGCAAAGAAGGCAGAGTCGTACTCAACGTCGTCCAGCACGAAGAGAGTCGCGTCCGTCCGCTTCTTGGCACTGCTGCTGCTCGGCGCGTGCGAGCCACTGCCTGGAGCCGATGAGCTGCTCCAGGCCAGGCGCGAGAGCGCCGCTGCTCGCCCGCGAGGGTCTGGTCGGCTCTTCGACTTCGCTGTTGGCTTCTTCGGACCCAGGGGGCCCTCCGGGTCCCCCGCCCAGTGTCCGAGCTTGCCGCGCGCCCCGCAGTACGTGCGCTGCTTGTCCTTGGCGATCTCCGCCTTGCGCTCCTCGAGCGTCAGCGGGCCGCGGCCTTGAAGAAGCCGCGCTTCCTCTGGAAGTCCCGAACCTTAGCCCGGGCGGTGTCGTAGGCGGCGTGCGCGTTGTTGATCGCCTCGTCCCGACTCGCGCCAGCGTCGCTGGCGAAGTCCTCCTCGGCGTCGCCGTCCTCGTAGGCCTCGTAGGCCTCGTCGTCGTAGTCCTCGTGCTGCTCCTCCTCCTCGTCGCCGACGTCGTCCGCCGCGGTGTAGTGCGCCCTCGGCTGCCTCTTGGACTTGTCCTTGCCGCCCTTGCCTCCGCCCTTCGGGCGCCCCGCGGGGTGAGGCGGCGGCGGCCGGGGGTTCTTCTCCTGCAGATGGAGGTCGTGGTAGTTTGTCTTCAGCGTGTTCTCGAAGGCTTTCGTCTCGTGCTTGTTGTCTGCTACCATAGTGACCAGTCTCTTCTGATCGTCCGTCAGCATCGCCCCCTCGAGGAGGAAGTGCGCGTAGAGGTCGTCGCTGAGCTTCGTCCCAGTGTCGAGCTCAGTCCGCTGCTTGTACTTGTTGTGCAAGGTCCTCAAGTGCTCCACGATCTCCTGGCCGCGCTTGCGGCGAGACCTCTTGAAGAAGTCGTCGAACTTCTGCTGCTTGCGCACCACTGCCACTTTGTCCAGGCCATCGAGAGCTTCGATGATCCTCTGGTGGGAGCCGTCCTGGGTGAGAGACTCCATGTCGTCCAGGAGCGGCTCCGCTGCCTTCCACGAGCGGCCTGTCAGGCCTCGCGTCAGGCGCAAGCCCAGATTCGCCCGCTTCTCCTTCCCGGCCTCCGTCGTGCTCGACTGCGTGCTGTACTCCACCATCGCTCTCATCCGATACTCGCGCAAGAGAGCTATGTTCTCGCCGTCCCAATGCGGGATGCCCTCTTTGTCGACAAAGAGCTCCTCCGCGGACTCATCCGTCGTACGGGCCATCTCTGCCGCCGTAGATCAAAAACTCCTGCTCCGATATCAGTTTGAACTCCGATCTGCTGCTATGCTGCGATCTGAGTGGGCGCAGCTCCTTTTTCTCCAGCTAGCGTGCCGGCAGGCTCTCGTATCCCAGGCGCAGGCCGCCCGAGAGCAGTAAAACCTGGGGCCCCAGGCTTGGGCCCACAGTGGTTGCGGGGAGGACGGGAGAAGGGCAGAGAGAGAGAGCAGGGAAGAAAGGGATAGGCGGGTTGAGGCGAGCCTGGAAATCTTCACAGCAGTAGTAGTAGTAGTAGTAGTAGTAGTAGTAGTAGTAGTAGTAGTAGTAGTAGTAGTAGTAGTAGAAGTAGAAGTAGTAGTAGTAGTCGTAGTCGTAGGCGTAGTCGTAGTAGTAGTTGTAGTAACAGCAATAGTAGTCGTAGTGGTAGTGGTCGTGAATCAGCAGTAGTAGTAGTAGTAGTAGTAGTAGTAGTAGTAGTAGTAGTAGTAGTAGTAGTCGTAGTAGTAGTAGTAGTAGTAGTAGTAGTAGTAGTAGTAGTAGTAGTCGTAGTCGTAGTCGTAGTCGTAGTAAAAAATTGACGTATCAATCGTAGGAGCATTAATGATCGTTATCGTTAAATTCGTCGTAGCCTTCATCACCGCAATCGTAAACCTACCAGCCCACTGGGCGGAGGTGGTTTCAGGAGTTTCCTCTTCCCCTTCGGGGAAGGGTTTACTCTCCCCTACCCCTCCCCCTGGAGCTGGACGGGAGGGATCGCGATCCATTGGAGATTGCAATATGGTCTAAGATGGCTCCAATTGGGCCTCCGAGAGCCCAAGATGACCTCCACGATGACCTCCAAGATTGCTGAAGATGGCTCAAGATAGCTCACAATAGCTTTCAACATGCTCCACGAGGCCCCAAGACAGCCCCAAGACGGCTCCACGTGTCCACGGAGCTACCCGAGGAAGCCACCCAAAGGCCCAAATCCTTCAAACACCTAAGGGAAATCAGTGTACTTTTCCTTCTCGCCTTTTCGCTGTCGACAGGCCCTCCGTGGCCTGCGGGTGGCTCCACGAAAGCACAAGGGAGCCCGGAGAACAGTCACAGAGCTTCCCAAGGCGGCCCCCAGAGCGCCCAAGAGCGCTCCAAGAGGGGTCCAAGAGCCAAGTGAGGGCGACCAGAGGACCCCCAAGTGGAGCCCGACGAAGCCCACATCCTTGATTTCCGCAGGAAAACTGTTCGAATACGTATGCGGTCTCACTTGTTCTGGCTTCCTTCAGCTCGAAGCGGCCATGGAGGCCTCCAAGATGGCTCGAAGACGGCTTCAAGACAGCCCAAGGGGGCCTCTAGACGGCCCACGACGGCCCCAGAGAGCCCCAAGCTGGCCCAACAGGGCTTCCAGAGGGACCCAGGACGGCCTTGAAGGCCTCTCGACGGACCAGCATTCCTAAGTACCAGGTGCAAGATTTCTGTGCTCGCGCATTCGATGAAATCCAAAGACAACCATTCTGTAACGAGACCACGCGGGCCACACGCATGCACAGATCGAACACATCAAACAACCATCGCGCACCCGCCAGCCCTGTCAACTGGATCTACGCTGGCGATGCGCCCGCGTCTCCACGCGCGCATGTCAAAATCATGAACATCAATGTTCGAACACATGTGTTTGTATATGCTATAAATGTGTATGTATACACATATATATATATATATATATATATATATATATAGGTTATGTTTCCTTTTCAGTTCAACAAAGGGTTCTGAGCGTGGGCGCTTCCTCCGCCTCTTTATCGCCATCAACATCACGTTCACCATCATCATCATCATCATCATCATCATCATCATCATCATCATCATCATCATCATCATCATCTTCATATTCATCATCATCATCATCACCATGATCATCCTCATCAATATCATCTTCACCATCATTATTATCTTCCTTATCATCATCACCGTACTCATTATCATTCTCATCATCATCACCATAATCGTCATCATCACCGCTATCACCATCACTATTATCATGGCCAGCGTCATAATTGCCGTCGTTGTTGCCATCACCAACAATCTTAGTCACAATCAGCAGCATCATGAAGGCCCCTGGAGAAGCAGAGTACCCCCCCAAGAGGCCTCAAGAGGCCCCGAAGAGGCCCCTGGACATTCCAAAAATACCGCCAAGAGGTCGCCGAGAGGCCTCCCAAGACACCCCAAGAAGCCTCCCAAAGAGGTGTCTTGTCCACGACCCAGTTTGGCCTCAAGAATGCCCCACGAGGCCATCGAGAGGCCTCCTCCTCCTCCTCCTCCTCCTCCTCCTCCTCCTCCTCCTCTCTTCCATAATTCGTTTCTTATAGATAACTTCATCATGCCGCACCCCGAAGCCAGTCAAAAGGGTGGGCCGGGCGTTTCGCCTGAGTCTTCCTCATCGTGAAAGACCCAGATGCTTAATCATTGGCAGCAGTTTCATACATGGAAGGCGGGTCGCTTTCAAAACGTGGCTCTTGCCTTAACGACGCGCGCATTCGTTTTAAACATTTGCAAGCATTTCGCGGATGAGGGCGGGTCCTTTTCCAATGAACCCGGCGCGACCCCAAACAGAGGAAAGCTTCCTATTGCATGGGCGCAGTGCTTCGCATTGCTTGGCATTGCCTGGCATTGCTTGGCACTGCTTGGCATGAGGCACCGGGGGCGGGTATTGCTCGGCATTGCTTGGCATGAGGCACTGGGGGCGGGGAACACGAGGAACCTCCAGGGCAACGCGACAATAGGAGGCACCGTGGGCTGGGAACCCGAGGAACCCCCGAGCAACGGGCATAGCAACAATAGGAGGCGCCAACCTTTAAACGAGTAAAACCCCCTCAAGCAAGCCTAATCGGGGAAATGTGGTTCTCGCCTTAGCGCCGCGCACATTCCTTGTAACATATTGCAAGAACTTCACGGAATGAGGGCGGGGTGGTTTTCGAAACATGGCTCTCGCCTGAACGCCGCGCATGTTCGTGCTAAACATGTGGCAAGAAGTTCACGGGTTGAGGGCGGTTCGTTTTCAACATGTGGCTCTCGCCTTAGCGCCGCGCGCATTTGATTGAAACATTGGCAAAAGCTTCTCGGATTGAAGGCGGGACGTTGTAAAACTGTGACTCTCGCCTGAACGCCGTACGCATTCGTTCTAAACGTTTGCAAGAGTTTCACGGATCGAAGGCGGGTCGTTTTCAAAATGCGACTCTCGCTTTAGCGCCACGCGCATTCGATTTAAACATTGGCAAGACGTTCACGGATAGAAGGCGGTTCGTTTTCAACATGTGGCTCTCGCCCTAGCGCCGCGCACACTCGTTGTACAAATTTGCAAGAGTTTCACGGGTTGAGGGCGGGTGGTTTTCAAAATGTTGTCGTCGCCTTAAGCGCCGCGCGCATTCGTTCTAAACGTTTGCAAGAGTTTCACGGATTGAGGGCGGGCCGTTTTCAAAATGTGGCTCGCGCTTTAGCGCCACGCGTATTCGATGTATACATTGGCAAGACGTTCGCGGATGGAAAACGGTCCGTTTTCAACATGTGGCTCTCGCCCAAGCGCCGCGCACATTCGTTGTAAAAATTTGCAAGAGTTTCACGGATCGAAGGCGGGTGGTTTTCAAAATGTAGCCTTCGCCTTAGCTCCGCGCGCATTCGTTCTAAACATTTGCGAGAGGGTCGCGGATTGAGGGCGGGTCGTTCTCAAAATGTGGCTCTCGCCTTGGCGCCGCGCATATTCGTTTTAAACATTTGCACAAGTCTCACGGGTTCTCATAGTTAAGGTCACAGAAGCAATGTTTTGGAACGATTCCGGAGTCAGGGCGCAACCATTGAGATATATTCGCTCTGTTCAAGTCCCAGGAATGGGTTTCTGGCGCGATTCAGGATCTCGCTCTCAGCGTTCAAAAACCTGAGAATGTTTTTTCTTGGCGCGCTTCAAGATGTTCCAACGGTTGTCCCCCAACGGGGCAATTCCCCAAATGGAAATGGCCGCGTGTAGGGGCCTATGAAATGAAATCTTGGAGGGAAGGTGTGCTCCCACATCGTTGATGAATCTTGGGTTTGCACTGGTCCTCCTCCTGCCCCTCCTCTTCTTTCTTCCCGCTCGCCACGAACACGCCAACATATTACCAGTGATGCAAGATGTGCTGGCGGAGTGAGCGAAGCGATTCAATTCGGCGGGGCCACTGCGGACCCTCGCCGTGTTAGCCGTCGAAGGTAGATGCCATCGAAGGTAGATGCTAAGAAAGGCTTTGCGCATTCCGCTGGCCTGAAGACGTTCCGATATTTTTCGACGGGACAATATTATATATTGTACGTGTGCTCTTCCAGAAAGATATTCGATTTTACAACAAATAATTCCTGTGGCGCGCAAACATACAAGTGACATGTGCTCCCAAGGCTAGGCCCATGTGACAGCTCCTGGGGCACTTGCAAAAACGCGTGGTCTGTGCCCCCTGTTCCGCAGGTGACAATACCCCGAGGGAGCCGTGACGTTGATTGTGGATGCCCGTCTGACTCCACTGCGTTTGGCCTCCCAGGGGCCCACGAAAGGTGCGACGGTTGCGCGCATGGCCCCCCCCCCCCCATGGAGCCGTGATGTCTAACCTGGATGCGCGTGTGACACACATGCATTGGGAGCCTCCCATATGCTCACAACATTGGCTGCGCAGGTGGCAGCACCCTCAGGGAACCGCGGTGACTAGCCTGGATGCCTGTATGACACTTCTCCGCCCCCCCTCCCAGGAACCCACGACAATGACGGCAATTGCGCAGATCGCAGCACCCTGAGGACGCCGCGACGTCTAGTGTGGATGCCTGTATGACACCACTGCGTTTGGCCTCCCAGGAACCCACGACAAAGGGCGACGGTTGCGCACATTACAACACCCCCAGGCAGCCGCGAGGTCTTAGCCTGGATACGCTTATGAGACCGCTCCGCTGGACTTCCCAAGAACCCACGCAAATGGCGACGGTTGCGCAGGTGGCAGCACCCCAAGGAACCGCG